GCCAACAAATATGGAAGCACAAGAATTGGGATTTAGGCAAACAATATTATATGAAGCAATTATTATTTGCTATTCTACGTAGCTTGCAACCAACAACAATCATAATGGCCAACCAAACACTTGACTTAGTACTCCTCACTTTCAAGGCTTAATAGCAGGTGATTAAACATGTTTGTTAAAAATAAAAAGAGCATTTTCTTATGACAATTCTTAATAGCCTGAAGTTTCTGCGCAGAAGATCCAAATTTGATGAACAGAATGTGTTGTTAAGAGCAGAAAACATTATCCCAATGCAAATATCCAAGAAAAAAAGGGCAATTGCATGCATAATACCCCAAACATTTGTGTTCACAAATCTAACACCATCTTTCATCCATTTTTCAACTTCTAACTTGAATATCAAAATTCATGAAATAACCCCAAACCATGTTTTTACGTTTTATCATATTCTCAATGGTTTGATCGTGGCAGGTAAATGCATCAGTCTGGTAGTTCAAAATCAAGCCAGTGTTAGTTTTGTAAATAGTAAAAAAAAAACTCAGGAAAAGTACCTTTGAGCATGCATCGACAAATTTCTTCTACAAAAAATACAGAAACTCTCCATGCTATTCAGAATTTTGCCAAGGCAAAATAAAACACCAAAGATACATTAATTTTCAGGCTACTGTTATTTGCTTCAATGCAAAATCACCAAATAAATAAGGAATATTTACATCCATCACTTAATTCCTACATATTTACATATCTGACAAAAACTTCAATTTTTACGTATATGCCACCTTACCAATGCCTGAAAAGTTGTTTTTCACCTTTTGAAAGTTAAAATAATGATATTTTAAAATAATGTTATTTTTGATGTGATGTGAAAATTTTGGGTGGTATAAAATATAAAAATTAAGCTAGGTGCTAGACATGTAAATACATAGGAGTTATGTGGTATGCATGCAAATGCCTCTATAACAAAATGGTCATTTATATAGAGACCACCCAAAACTTGCTATTTACAAATAAACCACCTTTCATTCATTTTTCAAATTCTCACTCAAATATCAAAAATAATGGTAACCAACCCATATTTTTCATTTTTATCAAATTCTCAATGGTAGTTGTTGAAATTTGATATTTTTATCAAATTTCAACACCAACCCATATTTTTCATTCTTCAAATTAAGCTAGGAGCTTCGGATTTAATTAGACTCAATAAACCCACAGTTAAATACCTACCTTTATTCAGGGCAATACAATTTCTACCACTAACTCGCTTCTAATATGAAAAATATGTAAGGGTTTTTTACTGGTGGACTTGATTATTCAAAGGAAATGAATATCTATTGCCTCCAAATGTAAACACTGCTTTAATTCTAATGCTACCCAAGAATATCTTTGGATCAGCTTTTCTCTATCAAGCTTTAATACTGGTTGGCTTTTTATCAAGCAGGTTTTCAGTAATTTTGCCTCTATCCTTTGGATTATATGGATTAGATGTACTGATAAGATGGAAGGTTTTTAGTTTCTTTGGCCCTTGCTGCTGAGGTTTTCTTTTCCCTATAGTCTATTATCTTCTTATCAGGTTTGGTCCAGATTTGTTTGTTTTTTGCTTGCTACTTACCCATGTACATATGAGGTTCTTATTAGCTCTTCTCTTTATCTTGGCTTCTTAATTATCTTTAGCTCCTATAGGTATCAGCTCTATAATTGCTCACTTTTTAGCTTGTGCAGGATTGTTTTGCCCCTTTCTTGCTGGATTGCAGATTTCTTTTCTGAGTTGCATCTTGTTTAGTGTGATGATCTTTTGTGTACCTTCTCAGTGGCTCGTGTTGTCTTTTCTTCATTGTGTTGTTTTTTGTGGTGGCGTGAGTCGTACCTTTTGGATGAGATTTCTTTAGGTTTTATTTTACGTGTGTTGTATTTTGTGTTTAGTGAGTTTTCTCCAGCCGTTCTTTGTATCTTTGTTTTGCTTTAATAAAATTTCCTCCGGAGTTCCAAAAAAAAAAAAAATTCTTAATGATTTTATCGTGGCACATGTAAATACATCGGTTCAGTAGTTCAAAAATATCACCTGAGTTGTTAATTTGTAAATATTGATATTTCGGGTGGTCTATATGTAATTATCCCAAAAAAAAAATCTTGCTGAAATTGACTCATTAGTTTCAGAAGAAGCAAACTGATTGAATACTAATCGGTAGACTAGACTGATAATGGGTGGATTAAAGTGATTGAAATGCCGCAAACTTTTAAAGCAACCCAGCAATCGAAATCAACAGTTATCAAAAAATTGTATGGCACTGTATGGTGAGAATGATATCAACTATCAATAGAAAATTAACAACAATTAATAAGAAAAACTGAAATGTCTCGTTTGAATATTTTTTAGACAGATTTACAATCTTTTTGCTTTCAAAGTCAACAAAAACACAAAGACTATCTATTTAAATCCTGCAAATTCATTTTGATAAAAAATCAGAATCAAGAAAATAAGGGTCATCAAAACAACTCCCTTCCATGAACTGCAACAGCCAAAAAGAAGCAGAATAATAATAATAATAATAATAATAATAATAATAATAATAAATAAACAAATAAATAACAAAGCAAAGCTTATCAAGACTATCACAAATACAACAACAAAAAAACAACAAGCCTTTATCCCACTAAGTGGGGTCGGCTACATGAATCCTTTTTCTCCAATGTGTCGTATTGAATGCCATATTTTTATTTAATTCTAATAAATTAAGATCATTTTTTATACAATATGTCCAAGTTTTCTACCTCTGTCTTTCTTAACACAATTCGAATCTAAAACATCTACTCTCCTAACTGGATCATCAGATGATCGACTTTTAATGTGACCAAACCATCTAAGACGGCTCTCTCTAATTTTATCCGCCGCTAGAGCTACACTAGCTCTATCACAGATATAGTCATTTCACATTTTGTTTCCAAGTGTCAAGCCACTCATCAACCTAAGCATTACATCTCGGTAGCACTTAACTTTGTTTTATGCTTCTCTTTTAAAGAACATTCTACGCCATAGAGTGTCATAAAGTATTGCACGTCTCACCACCATCTTATAAAATTTTCCTTTAAATTTACGCTGTACTTTTCTATCACACAATAGGCCCGAAGCATTCCTCCACTTCAACCAACTAACCATTTGGAATTCTACTAATAATATCCTCATCTATATCATCATCACATTGAATAATAGGCTTGAGATATCTAAAATATTCACACCTTTTAATGATTTGATCACTCATAGTTACAACTGTGTCACTAGAGCTACTACTAAAACTACATTCCATGTATTCGGTTTTAGTTCTACTCAATTGAAAGCCTTTAGTCTCCAATGTAAACCTTCATAATTCAAGTTTTTCCTGAATTCTTTCTCTAGTCTTATCCACAAGAAGGATATCATCAGCGAAAAGCATATACAAAGGTGCATCCTCATGTAAATGTTCAATAAGAGGATCCATCAATAAAGCAAAAAGACATGGGCAACATCAATAAAGTAAGAGTATCCATCATCAGCGAGAAGCAGGTCCTTAATGTAATCCAACTTAAATAGGAAAATATTGGGTCAATCCTCCTTGTGTTCGAACACAAGTAACATCTCTAGTATACATATCTTTAATGACTGGAATATAAGTCATATCAACATCTTTCTTGTTTAGAACTCTCCAAAGGATTTCTCTTGCAACCTTATTGTAAGCTTTTTTTAAATAAATAAAAATCATATACAAATCCTCCTTATTCTCTCTGTACTTCTCCATCAAACATCTCAATAAATGTATAGCATCCATAATAGATCTGCCCGGCAAAAATCCACACTGATTATGAGAAATCTTTATAATACATCTTAATCTATGTTCAGTTACCCTCTCGCATAATTTTAAAGTAAGTTCATCACAAATAAATGTTTGAAAAAAAGGGCCAACAAGCGACTGAAAAGAAACAAATATAGAGGTAAGCCTAACTGGAGATATCCAATTACTGATATAGGTAAATTGACTTGCGACAGCACATGGAGAAGGATATGCCACCACTATTTCCACTTCAGATGGTCTTGATCAAAAAGAAAAGCTTCAAAACAAGCACATTTACATTAAAGGTTGGTTGATTCAAAATCTCAAGAGAATTCGATGAGTTAACCCATCGAAGGAACTTTGTTGTAAAAGCAAAGCAAGGAAAAGGAGGAAAAATGCTTCCAAAAATTGGAGGCAAAACTGTAGGTAGAGGGAGTCTAAGGAAGATTTTAAAAGAAGTAATCAAATCACGTTCTATCAAAACATTTGTATGAAACAAAATACATGGTAGCCACACATTCTTAATCTATCAAAACATAATCAAGCAAAATCAAAATTGAATCTTTGGTTATTTACATGCCAAATAAATAGGAGAATAAAGAGGATCACTCATGATAAATGGCTTTGACGTTGAAGGGAAGTTCAGATCAAATGATATTATATGGCTATAAAGCTCGTTGAGTTGAAGGAAGAAACAGTCAACCAGCATTCGGCATCGTAGTTCAGCGTCGGATTCGGAGTCGGCATCAGGATTTCACAAAGGTGGGAAGTTGGAAAGAAAGGCAAGAAAATTAGGTTAGTAGAAGGAATGTTATCATGATCAAGGTTGGGCGAGGGTTGGTATCAGGAAAAATGTTTTAAAAACATTAAAAACAGTTTGTATTTGTTTTTAGTGTTAAGAAAAAACACCAATTTCTCTTTCAGTTCTCTCAAAATGGGGCTAAAAAGAATGAACAAGTAAATGCAACATATTAAGCATACCCGTAAACTATATATAAGGTTAAGAAGCATCAAAATCTGTGAAACTTCCTCTCATTTTAACGAGCAAACAAAGCCCATTCTCAGGATTACGATAGAATAAACCAGAACAAATATGTATCTCATTGAACCTAAATAGTTTAGAGCTGTCTCTAACCCCAAGGTTTTGAGTTCCAAACTCAGCACAAACAGTCGTACATGTGACTTAAAACAAAAATACAGGCCAATTTAAGTCTTTTGAACTCTCAAACAAGCAAACCTCAATAGGTATTTCAATGAAAATACAGTGTGTTTCAAACAGTGATCATTATTACAAATATTGATATCACAATCCAAAGCAAACTTATCACACAAGATACAGAATCATCCTTTCGACAACCAACAGACCCTTAATTATTAGGATTCGAGAAGAAACCATTTAGATTTGGCATAATTTCTGGAGATTTTCCACGCACAAATTTTCTAAGGCCATGTTCAGCATATTTCTCCCCTTCTGCAAAGTTTTCCAGTACGCCTGCTACCCTGCCTGCCTTGTTAACCCTGTCAGCATTCCCAAAAGTTTGTTAAAACCAAAATTATGTCATAAAATTCCATTGGTCTTTAAAAGTATAAGCCTTCTCATCAGCCTCCTATACCAAAATTAGAAGATATCCAATTTTTATTACAGGAATCTAGGGAAAGAGAATTCCCTAAGATTGAAAAATTTTCCCTTTCATGACTGCTAATTCATCGCCAAGGCTTAGATATTCTCAACAAAAATAATCTAGTAGTTGCCGACTATGATTATGATTAGGGATGGCTGTGAAGGTTTCACAAACCTGTTGTATAGAAGACTATTAAAAGGTATTTAAATGATTGTGAGATCATATGAAACCATAGCCACAAGCCATAAAGAAAATAAAAACATAATAATTCAAGGAATAGGCTAATATTACAATATCAGCATTCCATCAATAAACAAATAACTAAAATTTTTCTAGCATATACGTTCACCCATAGTCCATTGTCTCCTCTCATGAAACGAGGTTGATGATTTTCTACCCAACAACAAAATGACTCGCACTCCAGCCCCTTGGTTCAATCCACTTGCGTCGATGCCCGTTAGTTAACACATACAACACTAAAACCAAACAGGTGAAAACAGCTTAAGAGTTACAAACAAATAACAAGAAGCTTTCCAAATAAAAATAGAAAAATTTTGAATAGTTTTTCACCATAATTTATTAAAATACTTTTCACCTATATTTTCAAACAAAATGATACCAAACAAGGCATAAATGATTAGTGCTTAGTCCGGTTGACTTAGTGCTTGGCCATTCAAGATTAGAGCTTTCAATAACAGAGCTTAAAAATGAAAAGCCTCTCCCCAGCTGCAAGCCGTGCTCTGATAACCATTAACCAAACCTCGTAGGCTACTCGATCTGATCTTCATTAATAAAAATCCTATAATGATCTGCACCAAGTTCATATATAATAAAAGTAAAAAAAGTTCTGTTCCTAGATTTCTTCGATCGTTATGGTCAAAGTAACACCAATACAAATTTGTATAAAGGGTAGAAAAGCAGAAAAATAGAACTAGATGTTATATATCTTACTAATATTAGGAAAAATAAGAAACAATTGGAATATTAAACCTTGAAAGATCAATTTAATTTGTGACAATGATGATATTCATCAAAACAAAAGCGAAAGTGAACCATAACTATGTATGACAGACTGAGGCTCGTGGGTCTCCAACAAAACATTGATTAGAGATTTTGGCTATAATTCCTCGAATTAATGATTAGCTCCGTTTGGGCTTGTTTAGGATGACATGAATTGGCTTGGCTTGGCATCTTCCCACAACATGTGCTCCAAAAGGTAGAAAGAACATATGGCAGAAGTGCTAAGAAGGTATTGCGATGAAATTAATGATGATGAAGAAGCAACGTCATAATTAGGATGACAAAGGAGCAATGCAATAAAGAATTGTAGATGGTGTGATAATTTCCATGTTTGCCAAGAGGTAAGGAAGATGTTGGCATGCTGAGACAATGAGTGACAATAAATTGATGAAAAAGAAGAGAATGGCCTGGTGTACATAGACCGGTAAAAAGGAAAGGAAAATTTACATGCATAACATTTAATTTTTATGTACTAATACCTAAACTTCAATTTTTATGTATATGCCACCTTACCCATGCATAAAAATGTGTAATACACTTTTTAAAAGCCAAGATTTAGGTGTTACATATTTAAATATATTGGGTGGTATGTATTTAAATGCCCCAAAAAATAACAATGAAATGATAAAACTTGCTGTGATGTTCGATGGGGAGGCACTGCGCCTTGGCTAAGGAGGGGGATCTAGTAACAAATCTCAAGAATGGAAAAGCCAGTGGCTTCACTTTATTGGCATAACCAATCAGGATTGGATAGGCTCTGAGCAGCTAGTAAGTAATGAACGGGATGTAACATACATGATGTAACAGCTTAGGTCTAAGATTTGCTAATATAGTTTTGGTTAAGATGTACAACGAAATCTATAAAAGACCATCCTTCACATGTCAGCGAATTCCGACTATAGTAAGTATTAGTCAACTTTAACGCCAAAAAAAAAACCATCAAATATTTCAAAAATCTTGTAATAGTAGTCAAATCTAAAATTTCACACGAAAATACAAAAGATACAATGGAATTTCAAAAACAAACATGATTCATGCTGCAAAAAGAGATTCAATGTGTATTATAACTGATAAAATTTTAAACAAATACTGGTGCGCACAATTACAGGTGGATTCTTTAAGCACTTTACAAGTCTTGATGATTACTTATGGGGATCAAGACCGTCTTCTATTGAGTTAGTTTATCCTTGTTTTTGCTATTAACTTTTTAGTGATAGTTGTATGTGTGCAGGTGCAGCTGATATGTGTGCAGGTGCAGCTGAATGATAGTTGTATGTGTGCAGGTGCAGCTGAATTTTTTTTTTTTTGGTTATTTTTTTCTCTTTTTGGTGAGATTTTACATTTTCTAGATTATTATTTTATTGTTTGGAATAAAAGAAGCATGTTTGTCACTCATGCATTAAAGATGGATGATTTATCTTCAGTAAAATTGTAGTTAGTAACCTGCAGATTGTGACTTTTGCACCATACTTCAACGTAAATTGCATTAATGGCGCTGAGGACCCTAAATCATTTTACATCAATAGTCATCTAAAAGGAAGAAAGTAATCCTTTTTTTCATCATAAATGACAAATTTGCTAAACGGAGCAAATGATCTCAAGTGAAGAGCTAGTGTTTGCCGTAGGTTTGATGCCAAATTTGATGTATGGCAGCCAGGAAAGATTAAAGTAAAATGCAAAACAAAAAAGGAAGACAATGAACCAATTGGCCATGACTCCTCTGATGTCTAGAAGATTTAGATGTAAATTTGAAGGGCAGGTCCATGAAAGATAGCTTCATTCATCAACATATGCATTAATAATCTTATAAAAGCATAAAACCAATTCAACACAGATAAAATACAAGAGTAAAAAAAGCATCTGAATCCAATTAACAAGAAAAATAACATTTGCATCAATTACAAGATATATTTGTTTTTATAGCACACATCAATATCTCGAATCTTCAAGGAGATGCAGATTCCTTGACAACAGGATTTCTTCAAACTTCTAGTATCTCCATTTCAAATGTTGAGTGTCCCACCCATAAAGTTTGCTTGTTTGTGATTTGGTATTTCCTTGAATACCCAACTACTTTACTTAAGCTTAAGATTATTTTAAATTTTAATACAAAATATGTATTTCAAGCAAGAGAGTTTATTTCAATATTATATAAATGAATTAAGTTTCATACGTCCAGTCCATGATGTAAATTTTTTTTTCTCAAAGTTAAAAATAACTACTATGATGTCATGTGGCATTGCGCCAGATGCAACTCTGAAAAAGAATGGAAAGAAGACATTAAAGCTTTGAATCGCAGAAGGTTTTAATCACGGATTAAGGGTATGCATCTGTTTGGGACAACTTTCTCCCTATATTACAATCTAATTCCCATGTGTCGGTTCGTCGAACTTAGTATCGTCTTGGACCACAAATACTACTTCTGTTGGAGCCCCTCTCATGGCTTAGCTTGAACTTCGAGCTTTTCTCCCTCATCAATTGGAATCTGGTACTCATGTGTCATCAATTTCTTCACTGTCTACCATGTCATTGCATATTCTTTCAACAATTCCATACTCAGTAAAATAGACCATATCCTTGTTTGTGCAATCTGTTGTATTATGCCCAAAATCGGCAGTTGATACACTTTTTGGCTAAGAAAGATTTAAGAGAATTAGTTGGCTTCGCCTATTCTCCACTCTGAATCAATTTCCCCTCAAGCGAGAGCTTGGATGTTCCCCTTAGCGTATGCTTGCAGCTCAAACGTGGGGTTAAACTCTGCTTATAAGGTGTGGCGGTCATACGGTGATGTTTTCTCTCCACTTTTAAAGCTAAGATCTGAACATCCAGTCAGTAATGAATCGGTAGGTAATGACACCGCACACCTGTTTCATTTTGAATAGGGTAGTGATTTTCTTTTTCTTCATGCTGACGTAAGTGCTTCAAATTTTCTCACTAAAACAACACTCTTCTTTAACCAACTGGCAACTAGTTTAATCAATTTGTTTGGTGGGACTTTATGGTACTCAAAGACACTCCACCGTCTAGAGTCACTTGATGACCTCATCTGGATCCAATGGCCGTCAAAATATGATAAAACAGCCTTTACTTCAAGATTCAGACTCCTTTGATATTTTAGGCCCAATTCTTGAGGGTAGTGATTTTTCATCACTAGAATTTGCATGTGGAAGAGACTAATTTATTCCTATGATCTAATAAGTTACTATTATGGCTACAGCTAGCCTGTCTGGATCATCTCTTCTCGAATGTGGCGAGCCTATGTTGCTCTTGAAGACTCCATGAAAAGTTCTTGGATATCTCCTAGTAGATTTTTCATAAACATTATGAAGTTTCATCCTGATCAGATCTCCGACAATTGGCACTTCGATGGTGTGGTTGGGGTTTGGGTATGTGGACAAGGGTGTATAGAGATGATGAAGGATGAAAAAGAAATATTTTGGGTGACCAGTTTGAAAAGTCAACAAATGGAAGGAGTTTTCTGGAGGTGGGGATTGGATATTGGTGAATGCTTGAAACCCTAGGATGTGACTAGAGTTACACTAGCTTTGATAATAAATAATACCAGAGTCAACTCGAACAACAAAAAAAAAACAAATATTATTATTGCAAAAACTAATAAGCAATTACAACAAACACCACTAAAATGAAAAATAACAACAGACGCGACACACAATGCACTATTAGGACGGATCTAGGGTGGTGGTGGTGACTATTACAGGCATCGAAAAGTGGCACTGTGGTTAGTGGGTTGGACAGCAAAGGAACAACAGGTAGAGGTGCTCCAAAGGCAAGGAGGATTATGGGGGTTGTCACAGCAGCAGGGAGGTATCGGAGGAATGATTACGGGTGGTTGGCAGCGAGGACGCTGCAAGGGGG